CCGTGCGCGGCGCCGCCTGCGCCCGGCCGCGCGCCGGGGCTCCTTTGTTTGAGCCGGCGGGGGAGGGGGAGGGGAGGGGCGAGGCGCGCCCCGGGCTCCCCCCGCCCGCACGTGTTGGGGGGGGCGGGCGGAGGACCCCGGCTCCGCAGGCGGATGGTGGGACCTGGGGGAGCGGGGGGCGGGGGGGGGGGGCCTCGGCCTGCGCTCCGAGCCCCGCCCCCTCGCTTCTGGCCTCTCTCCGGCTGATTCCCCCGCCCTCCTGCCCGAGCCGGGGCGCGCGGTCTGGAGAGGGAGGGAGGGGGCTCTACTCTCGTGAAAGAGCGTGGTTGAAGCTCCTGCTTGCTGGGCCTCCCCTCCGGCGCTCGCCGTCTCCTCATCTCATTCGCTGTCTCTGCTTTCATCTCCGTCACTATCCGCCCTTCTAATTCTGTCCAGTCCCGGCCCAGCCCTTCCAGCTGAATCACCTTCGGGCGAGTCGGTTGACCTCTCCGACCTCAGTTATCTGGTCTGTAAAATGGGCTCATAACACCTGGTACCCTGGGAAATCGGGCTGGCTGGCTGAGGTCACGTGTGCAAACGAGGTGCAGGCCGTGCAGATAAAAATCATGATTTCTTTCTCCCGAGCCTTTGAACCTCGGTATTTTCGAGTGTTTTCATCTTCCCCAGCTCTCCGTGCCTCTCTCTGCTTTCGCCATCTGTTTGCCTTTCTGATACTTGAGACAATCTGTGACTGTGCATTTGCTCACTCACCGACAGGCGTTACACAGTGTGCGGTGTGCCAGGGCGTGTGCTAGGATGCTGGCTGTAGGGAGATAAGACCTCAGCTCTGGCCTCTTCCAGCCCCAAGACCCCCAGGGAGGGCAGCCTCCCATAGGTCATTACAATAGGAGCACCACGTGATAACAACTATTGTCCTCCAGTTCCGAATCCCCCTCTCTGTTCCAGACCAGTGCCTCTGAATCACTTGAAGAACTTGTTAGAAACTCGGGTTCCTAGCCCCGAACCCTGAGGTTTCTGGCTCATTCATTCAATCTACGAATACTTATGGAGTGTTTGGGCAGGACACTTTTCCAGGCACTAGGGATGGTCTGGAACAAATCCAACCAGGGCCCAGCTCGTGTTCTAGTTGGTCTGAGCTGAGCCCAGGAATCTGCATTTCTAACTAGAGCTCCAGATGCAGGTGGTCCTTAGACCACCCATTGAGGGATAGCGAGAGGCCTTTCGGGAGTCAGGCTGGACTGTGTGTATGGCAGGGAAGGGGGAAGGGGGTGACAGCCCTTCCCGCCTGTCCTGGCTCCCACAGGCAGCTCCCAAGAGGTGAAGGGAGTCCTGAGTAGGCCTAAGATTGGTTAATATCTGGAAGGGCTTCTGCTCCACGTCCAACATTTCCTTGTCCTGGAAAAACAAAAAGGAGGTACCCCCATCCACTCCCTCTTTCTTTTTTGTCCTGTGGCATCTTTCCGGTGTTGGACTGAGGTCTGCAAAGCAGTCTTTCTCTCTCTGTTGCTGTTGCTGCGGATGCTGATCCGGGCCTCCCTCTCCGAGGCCATGACTGTGCTGCGTACCCCTCCCTCCATGCCCAGCTGTGCAGCAGCCCCAGACCTGGCATTTGTCAAGTACAGGGTGCTGTGCCAGACGCTCTGTTGGGCACTGGGGCCACGGAGCTGGGCAGCAGCTCCAACTTGAAAACGTAGGGCGTGGTGAGTGGCCTTCTCGTGCGGGAGCCTCGTGCTAGTGGGCACTACGGTCCCTTCACCTCTCAAGACCTGTAGTGGTTACGTCCCCCATTTCTCGACTGTCTCTCTAGAGTTGTCAGGCTGGGAAGCGCAGACCCTCCCGAGCCGCTCCCTCTCCAGTGGGTGGGGGAGAGGCTGGCCGGCGCCATGGGGAGGGGTCTCTCCGGGGCCCTTACGCCCCGGGTGCCCTGTGCCCTGCCCCTTCAGCCCACACCTGCCTTATGCCTGCAGGCTGCTCGGAGGAGACGCGGTGGTGGAGCTGGTCCTCAACGACTACCTAGACATTTTCTGCCCTCATTATGATGGGCCAGGGCCCCCGGACGGCCCCGAGACGTTTGCTTTATACATGGTGGACCGGCAGGGCTATGAGGCCTGCCAGGCCCAGGGCCCGGGCGCCTTCAAGCGCTGGGAGTGCGCCCTCCCTTTCGCTCCCTTTGGTCCTGTTCGATTCTCAGAGAAGATTCAGCGCTTTACACCCTTCTCCCTTGGCTTCGAGTTCTTGCCTGGAGAAACCTACTACTACATCTGTGAGTGAGGAAGGCACACTGATGGTGTCTGGGGCCGGGGTTGGGTGGGGGGGGGGGGGGCGGGGGGAGGTGCGCAGGCGGCCTGAGTCTAAGACTGAGTGGCGGGTCATGTAGGGTGAGTCTACCAAGAGGAGGAGAAAGCAGGAGGAGCCGGGGAAGGGGACGTGATGGGGGCACAGGGGGTCTGGCACCAGGATGTGGCCCAAAGGTAAGGGCAGGCTTTCCAGGGACCTGGGAGAAGACGATCGGAAGGGTCTGAAGCAGGGTCTGAGGCGTGCGGACTAGCCTGTGCTAACGCCTTCCTCCCGATTTCCCACCATGCAGCGGTACCGGCCCCGGAGAGTTCTGGCCGCTGCTTGAAGCTGCAGGTGTCTGTCTGCTGCAGGGAGAGCAGTAAGTAGGTTGGGGCAGGGCGGGCAGCCCTTCTGGGCCCTTGGGAGTGAGGGGAGTAGTGGGGAGAGTCTGGGAACATCACACCCTGAGGGGCCCAGGTGGGGCCTTTTGCTCTGTGGGAGCTTTCACTGTACCCCTTTTTAAAATTTTTTAATGTCTATGTTGGAGAAAGTGTGAGTGGGGGAGGGGCAGAGGATCCGGAGCAGGCTCTGTGCTGACAGCCGCGAGCCTGTCAGCTCGAAACAGTGAGATCGTGACCAGAGCCAGATCGGACACTCAACCGGCTGAGCCCTCCAGGCGCCCCCAACTGTACCCCTTTATGCCAGGCCAAGGGACGGCATCTCCAGGGCAATATCCTTCAAGCCCTGGGCTGAACTGGGACGAGAGGGAACAGCCTAGGGGGAGGGCAGGGAGGAGGCTGCTGGCAGGGAGAGCCCATCAGTGCCACCCCCCTGCAGAGTCGGAGTCGGCCCATCCCGTCGGAAGCCCTGGAGAGAGCGGCACCTCTGGGTGGCAAGGGGGAGGGGCTCCCAGCCCTCTCTGTCTCTTGCTGCTGCTGCTCCCAATTTTGCGTCTCCTGCGAATCCTCTGAGCCCAGCGGACCCCTCCTGCCACCCCAGGAGCGACAGCCCTCCCAAGACTCCCTGGAGGAGGGCCCCCAGCGTCAAGCCAGCCAGACCGATGGAAGAGTGATGGGGGCGGTCGGAGGGTCCGAGGTGACCTTCCAGGGGCTGGCCCCTTATCACAGGCTGAAGAGTTGCTGCAGGGAGCTGCACACCGCCCTGCCCCCCCCCCCCACGCCCCTCCCCCGCCCCCGGAGCCCAGGCAGGACAAACACAGGGTCTCCCTCCGCTGCTTTGATGTTCTTTGCCCATCCCCCCAGAAGGACTGGGATTTTGGTGGGATGGAATCCTTGAGCCTGTTGGGGGCCAAGACCGAAGACCCTGGGACAGGTGGATTGCCAGACCAGGGCAAAGAAGAGGCTGAGGCCTGTGCCCGGCACCCTGGGGGCCACTTCCCTGGGGCAGCATCCCCCCCCCCCCCCACCCTGGCGGGGGGTGCCACTCGCTTGTCTTCTGTGAAGACAGACTTGCCATGAGGCTGGACATCATGCCAGTTTGTATTTTTATAAGTGTCTGGACCAAACCCTCAATAAACCACCCCCCTTTTTTGTTGCTCTGCCCCACCCACCGCCCTCCGGCTCCTTCCCTGGCTCCTTCCCCGACACCGGGGCTCCCTGCGGCCTCTGCTCTCAGCTTGGCTCTGCGTGACCTCAGTGCCAGCTGTGCCCTGGCCATCCGCTCCAGGCCGAGGGCACCCCTCTGGGCGATGTGGGGTGGGTGCCAGCAGCAGCTGTAGAGCCCGGCGCCCCCTCCCACCTCCCTAGCTGGCTTCCTGGGCGGGGAGGGGGCAGCTGCTGCTGACAGCCCACCTGCTCCAGGCACTGCCCAAGCCCGGGGAGCACCACGCAGGGTGTCGGGGCAAAAGCAAGGGCACCCGAGTCTCAGAGCGCCTGGGTCCCGCGAGCTGGGCATCCTTCCCCCTCCCCACGGGCAGTCTGGGCGGTACCAGGCCTAGAACTGCGAAGGTGGGGTCAGATCAAAGCCTCCTTCCCCAGCGGCTTCTTTGTTCTTCGCTTTTATAAGGAGGAGGGGGTGGGGCCGAGGAGGGAGGGCCCCCTCTGCTCTCAGCCCCACGCCATCTCTCCCACCTCTGGCAGGCCAGGCTATGATCCCCCCCCCCCCCCCCCCCCGCCCAAACCCGACCAGAGCCCTCTTTCTGGACGTGTCCCGGGTGCAGCCAGGGGAAGGGGCGCCCGGTCCCCCGCGGCCATTCCGCGCCCGCCCCGGTGCCCCGCAGCCCCCGCTGGCACCGTGCCGGCCCGCGTGGCACCGAGCCAGCGATCGATAGGTGGATGGTGCGCCGATTAGCTCGCCCGGCTGCGGCAGCGAGAGCCGGCGTGTGAGCGCGCGGGGGGGGGGCGCGGGGGGGGGGGGGGGCGAAGTCTGACCTCGCAAAGCCCCCCCCCTCACACCCAGGTCGGACTCGGTCCGCCTCGCTGATCGCCCTGCTCTGCCTACGGGGTGGGGGGCGGCACCGCGGGCTCCAGTCGGACCCCGTCCCCCCTTCGAGGCCCCTCGCAGATCCCCCCCCCCCCCCCGCGCCGGCTGCCGGTGCCGGCGCACCCGTGTGTCCGCGCCCGCAGCCCGGGGCGCGGGGGGCGGGGGGGGGGCCCGCGGCCCGGTTGGGGGGGGGGGGGGGGGGGCGCCCCCCGCGCCGCCGGGGGGGGGGGGGGGGGGGGCGGTGTCCGTGCGTCGCCCTGGAAACCGAGGGCACCGCCGTCCCCCTCCTCCTCACCCCCGAGACGCCGTAGCGGGGCGAGCGGGGGCGACCGCTCAATAGCCCCTGCCCGCCCCTTGAGGACCGTGGGGGTCTCGCCCCGCTGCCAGCGGCCCCGACGGGGAGAAGGCGGGTGCGGGTGGCAGGTGGCCACCCGGCTCCCCACGGGCGCCTGTGCGGACGCCTCGGCAGGCAGCCGGGCATTTGTGAGACGGCCCCTTCCCCACACCTGGCCCTGCGCGGACAGCCGGCCCGGCCCCGGGGCGTGCCCCCGACAGCAAGGGCCCGGTCGGCTCCGGTTCCCGGGGCGGAGACGGGCTGAAGGTGCGGGGCCGCCTTCCGGGTCTGGGCCCGACCCATGAGAAGGCCTCGAGGCGCGTTCCGGGGCGCGGCTCCAGGAGGCTGGGCAGGCCTGTGAGTTTTGGGGCGTCACCGATCTCCCCTGAACGCAGAGGCGCTAGACGGCCCAGGGTGGGGCCCTCGATTCGCTGGGCCCGCCCTGGTCGCTCCCGAGCAGTTGGGGGACTCTGGTCCTCTTTGCGTCACGAAGAATCGCCAGAGCCTGGGAGGGAGACTCTGCGACCCGGGGGCCTGCCCCACGCTTTCCGGGGGCGCAGAAGCGAAATCCCCAAGTTTTGGGCTGTGTGACCCCTCTCTTTTTTTCTTCTCTTTCAGTGATTCCTTCCTTCCTCTACTTGTTCATTCATTCACCAAATCGTGGGCTCCCAGCGCCCTTCTTCCCGCAGGCCACTGCAGCTGGGGGCGTCGGGGGATTCCCAGCGGTGACGCAGTAGGAGAAGGGCACCCTGGCTTCCAAGCAGCCAATTGAATCCTGGGGCCTGGGGCATGAGGTCATCAGCGCTGATGCCCATTGGTTCAGGCCTGGACGTGGGGAGGGGGTCCCCATAGCAACCGACGGTGCGTCCGACCGTAACCCCGGAGAGTGGTCTTTGCCGGAGCTCCAGAGGCAGCCTGGGTGGTGTTTGGGTTGGGGGCGGGGAGGCGGGGAGGCGGGGTGGAGCCCAGGCCCCCCCCCCCCCCCCCAGGTCCCGCAGCCCTGGCCCAACCAAGCTGCTGTCGTTCTGGAGATCTTTTTCTCACTCAAAGTAATGGTCAGTGCCCCTCGCCCCGGGCAGGCAGATTGGGGGCTGGCGGAGTACGGGCGACGGCGTTGGGGTCGCGGGTGCAGAGCCGCCGCCGCTCGGAATGCTAATTCCGAGAACCTCCTGTTCTGCATCTCGTCTGCACCTCATTTGCATTCTCTTCATTTAAGGTCAAATTGAGCAGACAGCCCCACATCCCAGCCCTGTCGCGCGTCTGTATCCCGACTTTATCCCTCAGCAGCTCCGTAATCTCTCTCTTTCTCCAGTTCCTCACCCCACCCCTCTCCCAGCCGGCGGTGTCCCCTCGGGTGCGAGGGGGCGCAGCCTAGCAAGAGCGGAAAGAGAAGTCCGCCTCTCCCCCTGGACGTCTGCTGACAGATGGGGAGGGCTGGTCCCTACCGCCTAGCGACTAAACTGACAAAGCAAATGGTGGGGGAGGTGCCCGGGGCTGGGCGGGGGTCTCCGGGGCCAAGTCACCCACACGCCCAGCAGGGTGCTGGGACTAGGGCCGCCTGCTTGCAGCCAGGGGCGGGCCTGCCCACCTGTCTGGTGCCAGGACAGCTTCCTGCCTCCAATTAAACGCTAATGAGGTGTCATTAACCCTTAGCTTGCCTGCCAGCCCTCAGGTGGAGTTTAGATTCGTGGTCTCACCCCGAACCGAGGGGCGGAGAGGAGGCCCTTTGAGGAAGCCTGGAGGCAGTGGGGCCAGGGGGCGGGGGGGGGGGGGGGGGGGGAGGAGGGCCAGAGGCATGCGCAGCGGGCACTGCTTATGCTGTGTGCTGCTGGGGACTCCACACACGGCCGGCCCAGTGGCTGGGTGCATTTCTTCCCCGCGCATCAACTCGGCAATGACTTGCGAATCCCCTTTCCTACTCTACTAACTAAACACCAGGCTGCACACTGCGTGCTGGGGGTAGGCACTTGCACAAGACAAGATCCCTTCCCTGAAGGATTCTTCAGATTACTCCGGAAGACACATTGTCCAACAAATAATTATAATGCCAAGTGCAAATGCCACTACAGAGCCACGAATGAAGTGCTACGGGAGAGTGGGCTCTCAGAGAAGACTTGGGCTTTGAAGCGCAAAGTTTAAGCGGGGAGGGGATGTGGAGAACCCAGTGTGCCTGTGTGTGTGTGGGTGGGTGGGTCCGAGTGGGTCCGTGCTCAGCCTGTGCCCTCCTGGGGCTCATGTTTGCGTCTGTACGTAGGTGTGAGAGTGTGTAAGTGTGCTGTCTGGACCTCTCTGTGTCTGGAATCCCTGCTCCTGAACACACACTGTGGTTTTATTACAGATCAATGTTTGCTGCGAAGCTCTCGTGCAGATTAGCCCGAACCTGCCCAGCCCAGGGGAGGGGAAGCAGGGAACCGACGTTGGCTCTTTGGGAAGGGGTGGGCAGACACCGTCTTCACACTTGGGGGCCCAGACGCTTGGCTCCCCAGTTGGCGGCGGGCTGGCCAAGGGAGGCCAAGGGCTGGGGCCCCGGCTGTGGTGGGGTGTGCCCAAGCTGTAGTGCCCTCTGTCCCCAGCTCCCCAGGGGAGACACAGAGGCTGCAACCACCGCTCCCCATGAGACCTCGGGCCCCCTCCCCCAACCTGTTCTGTCTGTGGAGGAGAGGCCAGCTCAGACCTGCCTGCTGGCTCTCTCCTGCAGGGAGCGGATGTTTTCCAGGGGACTCCAGAGGGCTGGGAATGCTGGAGCCTACCAGGAGGCCTGCTACCCCACCCTGCCCCTCTGAGGTGCTCTGCAGCCTGGGTTCCCCCCACCCACCCTGGGGCACCACTTCCCCAGTTCTTGCCCAGGCACAGCCATCCACACCAGGGATGCCCCCGGCCACCAGGCAGAAGGTGGGGGCTAGAGTTCGGACAATGAGGCCGGGGTCGTGGGGCAGGGGGCACTGTGAGGCCGCTCAGAGACCCCACCCCAACCCCCTCTGTCTCCTTGCAGCCACCTGCTAGAAAGCTAATTTTGGTGGCAGGAAAGAGAATAGAGTCTGGATCGAGGGAAGGTTTTAGGGGTTAAGAGGCTTGGCGGCCTGAGAAGGTCAAGGACCCCTCCTTCTATACTGCCAAGGATGGGGACTTTCCGTTTTTTGGCTGAAACTTCCCCTCCCCCGGATTCCATCTAATTGTTTCCTGCCCCCCGGTCCACTTCCCAAGCCCTGGGCCAGCTCTGCCACTGTGACAGCTTTGAGAGAAGCTTGGAGAGCAGGAGAACAAACGGAACAGGGAGTCTGGGGCTAGTCTCTCAGGAGAGAATGCCTTAATACGAATGGTGATGAGTGATGAGGGGCACCCGGCTGCCTCTGTCAGTGGAGGTGGAGCCTATGACTCTTGATCTCTGGGTTATGAGTTCGAGCCCCATGTTGGATGTG